AGAGAGAGAAAGAGAGAAAGGAAGGAAGGTAGTTAGTTAGTTAAAGACAAACCAGAAAGCCTAAGCATGTCATGAACAGTCTGTATAAGTCACAATAAGAGGATTTCTAAAAAACAAAACAAAAACTTTTATATGATCAAGTTGCCCGTGATTAAAGGGAAATAATAGTGGTCTTTCTAGAGGTTGGGTCTGATGTTTAAAAAATGCCACTTACACACTTACATTGCATCTCACTGGTTTTGGTTTTCTCTCCTCTTTTAAAAGGTATGAAATAGTAACACTCTCCTTCAACTCATTTTCGGCTCATATAAGTTTTTTCCCTGCTCAGGTTCTCTTTTTGGTGGCCTGATGCTACCGACATTCTCTTAAAGGTCTAAAGGAATTGTTTTCTTCCAACATAATATTCTGTGCACTGCAGAAGGTATTTTCTTGGCCTTTTGGTAACTGGCCTAACAGATTTTATATTTATCACAATAACTCCTATGACATTATTATTAAGTTTGGTTTGCTTAGGAAAAACTGAGATTTAAATTTTTTTTAATTAAGGTTATTACATTCTTGTATCTTCCTGTATGTACTTTTAAAGTCCTTGTGACATTGAGTTACAGGGTTTTGACTCCTGGGTCTAAAAAGAACACCAAGTCCTGCTAAATCTTAAACACTGACAGCAATTAAAACCTCATCTCCAGGCCCCCTAGAGGATGCCAATCAAAATAAACTGCATTCCTGAGACATAGGGCCAGAAATTAAAGGCATTCAACTCCTCAAGGCCCAGGGGCTATCGCAGAAGAGGTGGGCTTGTGAGATCGCAAGGGTTAATTTTAAGAGATAAAATAAGTTCAGTTTCTCTATAAATTAACCATTAATGTCAAAGGCACACTGATGCAAGACCAGTATATCAACCCCTGTGTCAAATTAACAAGGTTTTCTTGAAACATTAACCAACTGCTTAATAGAGGTTACAAAGATATAAAAGGTTCATGGAAGGTATATCTTATGATCAAGATTAAACCTTTATGGACTATTTATACAATTTTGAAAAACAAATTTAATTGGCTTCATGCTGTTTTTTATTAGGGCTTAATGTTTGGAAAATTAAGTCTCCTCTCTCAAAGAATGAAGGTTTTTGCCCTTTTTTTTTCCCTTATCATTTTGGCTAAATGAATGACTTATTTTGCAATGACCTGTAATCCTATTTTGTGATATCAAGTGTTTAAAATCTTTGATATTTGACAAACTTTCCAAAATCGAATTATAAATTATGTCTTTTTCTGACCTAATTAGTCCTTTAAGATATTATTAATGGGTTCTCTAAAGTCCAAAAATGACGTATTTGGCTTTTTGGTATGAAAATTATACAGGAAACATTGTCCAATATGAAATGGTTTTGGTTTTCTTTGGGCTGTATTTGTATAAATGTTATTGGTATGTATTCCAAAATTATGGGAAACTCCTATTATTCTGATATGACACAGTGTATGTTATCAGTAATAATTATAATTTTATGTTAAATTATTGTGTGCCACAGAGGTAACAAAATGTCTTTGACTATGGCTGCCCTAAAACTTTTCATTATTCACAGACAATTGTCTTTTTGTGGTCCTTTTCAGAAGATGATTTTATAATCAGCTATGAAACCCTTAACAGGTGCTCTTAAATGCATGTTTCTGATGACTTTGGAGACTGTGACATCAAAATAGAGAAAAAACTTTGAGGACTCATGGAGAGCTGAAATGTTCATGAATATCAAGCAGAACAAGAATTAACTGCATGGACTAAACTAATAAAAGTGTGAAGTAATCTTTTTATAACTTTTTGCTTAAAACATTGCTGATACTTTGTTTTTCAGAATCAAGAAACTTTTAAGCTATTTACAGCTTTTTAACAATTGAGTATACTCCTATGAACAAAATTTGGAGCATATTTGTTTTTCTCTACCTGATTTCTACAGAATTTGAAATCCATTTGAGAGTATGACAGTTATTTGCATAAGTGCGATAAGAATCTGTTTTCATTTGTAACAGGACACAATTGAAGAAACTGGTTATTTTATCAAGGCTTTGACTGGAATAGTGTGCTTTCCTTTAAAGAATTAAAGTTGACTTATGGAGCCAATAAAAAGCCCCTTGGAAAAACTAGCCTCATACCTTTGTCTCCACAGTCCCTGTACAGGGTTCCTGACCTGTGGTAAGTAAAGAATGTCACTTTCTGACAGGCCCAGGAGCTCCAAGTTTTTCTTAGGAGCTCAAAAGGAGAGGAATTCACTCAACTCATAGGTATTTCGTGGTACAAATTCATGGATGGGCTGGGCTTTAAAAAAGTCTTCTCTGAGATTCCTTCTGTGGAACAAAGTTCCATCAAAGCCAATTTAAAAGCTTATGTAAAAAACAATTATTCTTATGGCACTGTATACAAAGAATTAGGCCAAGTACAATAAAGAAAACCAGTCCTGCCGGATTTGTCTTTAATAAAAATGGGAAAGTGGAGAGAGAAAAATTATGTTTCAAAAACTATAGTACACCTATTGTTAGATTCTAGTCTTGTGTAATATTTTTCAATTTTTATTATTTTCTACAGTTTGGACTGAATTCTAATTTTTCTTGACTACATATCTTCAAAACAATGTTTTCAATTTTTTTCCTTCTTTTTTTTCCTCCATTTTTCCTAATTTGGAGTCACTGGAAACTAAAATGTGCTTTCATAAAGCACTGTGAAATGAAGCTAGACAACTTAAACTTCAGAAGGAAATAACAGGGACCTATTTACGTACATAAGCCACTTTCATACCTGCCTACTGATGTATGGACTTCAGAGTAATGTGGCCTATATCTATTTTCCAGAACTGTTCTTTTGTTTGTTGTTTTCTTCCCCCTATTTTCTCTTCATAGGACATGAGACTTCACAACCTTCTAAAAATGAGCTTTCCTAATAACTCGGAACTTACCTGTCTAGGTATAAACCATCCTAGCCACGAGAGATCAGATGAAACCTGAGGCCAGAGACTCATTTTCTTCTAAAATGCTTTCTCCAACAGATTTTTTAAAAGAAAAGGGGGAAATGTGAAAGGAAAGTATTTTGGGCCCCTCAAATCAATAAACTAAAGGAAAATGTCAAGCTGGGAACTGCTTAGGGCAAACCTGCCTCCCATTCTATTCAGTTACCAAGGTAACTTTGAACTCTGCTCACCAAGATAAATACATATATCACTGCCTTCTTTGGAGAGGCTAAATAGAAACTTTAAAAAAAAAAAAAAAAAAAAAAAGCAACCATTTGTCTCTTATCTACCTATGACCTGGAAGCCCCCTCCCTGCTTCAAGTTGTCCCATCTTTCCAGACCGAACTAATGTTCATCTTACATATGATGTCTCATGTCTCCCTAAAATGTATAAAACCAAACTGTGCTCTGACCACCTTGGGCACATGTTGTCAGGACTTCCTGAGGCTGTGTCATGGGTGCACATCTTCAACCTTGGCAAAATAAACTTTCTAAATTAACTGAGACCTGTGTCAGGTCTTCAGGGTTCACAGTGGTTAGTTAGCATTTAAGAATCAAATAACCTGAAGGGCTGGGCCATGATAGTAGGTATAGAGCGAAGTAAATCTGTGTGAACATTAGAGAACATTCTAGAGTTACCTGTTAGATTTGGGTAACAGGTAACTCATGAACAACTACTCAGCTCTCACTCTGAATACACCAGCACTGAACTACCCCAAAATGACCTGAGAAATAAGACTGACAACACAGTGGAAGAAAAAAGCCTAACACCAAGTGACTAAAGCCACATAGGGCAAATTAGGCTAAAGCAAAGCTTGAAAGGTGGGGGTAAATACAGCATTACTGGTGTTGAGAATTAGACTGACAAAGCACATGCCCAAGAGCCCTATCTGGCTCTGCCAGGCACTACTGCTATTTCTTTGGCAGTCATTGAGAAAAAACTAACAAAACAATCCTGTCCTGGTATTGCTGCTGCACTGGGGAGAGGTGATCTACACAGAGGGGAGAGGAGGGGAAGGGATAGTAGAGGACAAGAGGCGAAGGGACAGTAGAGGAGGGGAGGGGATGGGAGGGAAGTTGGCAACAGCATCAGTTCTTCTAAGAAATGACCAGAAGAGTCACTGTTCAGGTCAGGAACAGCTGGGGATCTGCTATTTTTGTTTAGTAATCACAACTAGCCTCCCGGGAAAATTCTGTCTGCTCTCCAGCAGGCTTTGGAAAAGAGCCCCCCATACACACATACACACTCACAGGAGCATGCGCACACACGCGCGCACACACACACACACACACACACACACACACTCTTCTGGGAGAGAGGGGAAAGATACCCACAGAAGGCTTGGGTCTTTGAATACAAAACCAGTTAAATGTGTGTTTTCCCTATGCACACCCAAACACAGACACACATACACACACACACACACACACACACAGAGAGAGAGAGAGAGAGAGAGAGAGGTTTTACTATTTATCAAGCCAGGAATAAATTTTAAATTAGAGTTCTTATAAGAGAGAGGAAAATTAAATAGAACATACAACTTTTAGATCAGACACATGGCTTAAACACGCAAGAGTAAAATTTTCTAGGGGAAGTAATTTGCTGATTGGTTCATTTAAAATTTCCAGATGAATACATTTCCTGCCAAATCTAACTGCAAGAAAGATAACCAGTGAGAAAGCAAAGGACTCTGGGTACCTTCCAGCTAAATCCTCGATATCTTTTATGAACAGGCCTCCTTGGTGCTTGCACACATTCTTGCATGCCCTCAGTCGGCTCTTACTCTTGTACAAGATGTAGTCTTTGCCAGTGCTCTTATTACGAAAGAAATTGATTCCTTCCTTAAGATTGGCAACTTCCACAGGTGATAGGCACAACAGGATCTCAGTTGTTTGTTCAGTGCTATGAAAAGGCAAACATTTTGAGAGAAAATGTTAATAATGTTAGGTTTTAAGAGATAATCATTTCAAACTGACAGCTCAAAACCCCTTTTCCCTGAAATACTTCGTAAGCCCCTTGCGTTCCAAGTACCCAGGTTTGGTGGCTACCTGAGGATGCATTTCTCCCCACCTTGATATGAATGTAAATATACATCTTACTTAATATACCTCTCCACTTTTCTAGAGAACTAAGATCCCTCTTACTTGCCTGCCCATCGTCTGCCAGTTCCTCTGCCCGGGTATTTTGAAAGAACAGCAGTTGCTCGTATCGTTTCTGTGGCTCATTTGCTCCCATAAGCCATTAGTCAGCCTGGAAGGAGGGCGTTTGTGGTATTTCCTTCAACAGTTACTGATTTCCTTTGACAGTTTTCTCCCTCTACCACAGCTCTTTTAGAAGCCTAACACTATATTCACTTCTGAGAAGCCACTGTGCTGTCCCTCCCATCTCTGCTCTTTTGCATCTGGACTGCCTCTGCCTAGAACGCAGTTCCTCTCCACCACGCAGCATCAGTCTTGATTCAAATAGAACTGAATCGTCCTCTTCCTGGTTAAGCCTTCCAAGACACACCCCAGGTCCAGGCTAGCATTCTTGGTGTGCATCTCTCTTCTGTAGAACATTATAACGTTGTAATTGGCACACTGCTCTGTTTACTTACACATAGGCACTTTTGAAAGCACTCTATCTTCCTTCTGCCCCTACCACTTAGCCGACTGCCTTTCACAGGCTATGTCTTCACTAGCTCTCCACTTAGTGAGTCACCCCTCCCACTGCACTCAATTTGACTAATTTACAAAAAGCTCCAGCAGCAAATGAAGCATTTGAATTTTTTTTTTTTAAGGAAACAAGCCGTTATACTTCTCAAACCCCAATTTCTAAACACTCTGTTTACAGTGCAACACTGAATCATAACGGAATGTTATTTTTGCCAAGAAAGGTTTCAAGATATCTTTTGCAAAATCATGGTAGGAAATCTGGGCACACGTTGTTTAGTTTTATATTTGACTCCAAACAAAAAAGTAGCCAAAATTCTCTTTGCGTGTTAACTTAAAACTGATTTGCAGCACAAGCGTGTTTGTGGCACTTTCACTTTCCTTTTTAGAAGCATTGCAAATTTCTTAAATGGGATAAAAATAATTTTAAAAACATTCCAGGGTAGAAAATAACAGAGAAACCACTTCCAATTTTAAACTGATGAAGGCATAGCTCTGTAATATTATGATCTACTTTCTTAAAGCAGATTCTCCTTGTCACCTCTGTCCCAAATTCCTAGTAATTGAGTTCCCAATGGACTTGAAATTATTCCAAAAATATGTTCTAAATGTATTTGATAGGAAGAATCTATTCTAAATATCATGACTTCTTTTTTGACTTTGTTCTTACAAGTACAAATATCTGACACCAAGCTAACACAAGCACTGAGGCAATTCCTGGAATAATTAGTCTAAGAGTATAAAAGGCAAACCTCTCTAGATTTTTGTTGTTCCATTGAATGAATTCATATAGCCAAAGTTCTGTGTTAGATTTCAACTTACATCACAACCATGTAGAACAGGTTTACTTAACCACAGTTTTGTACTCAGTTCCATGTGAAAGTCACATTGGAACAGAAGGCAAAAGAAAAAAATGTGTGCACCTATATACATGCTTTTCTATATATGTTTTTAAATGATTAGCTTTTCCCCAAAGTATTTTTAAAGATATCAATGAATTTGCTTCTATCAAAATCAGAAAAATAAAATTGTAGCAAATTCTTATTTTGCTATGAGTAAAACATTAACACTAAAATGAATTTTAATACACCTACTTTTTAACGTTTCAGTATTTTTTTCAAATACTTTAATATTCTTGAAAAATAACAATTAAAATACATTATACAGGGCACACTTTTTCCCTTTTGCCTCAGAAGTAGTGGCTCAGTGTGGCAGTATAACATCCTGTCTTTAAGTTTTGTATATTTTGTTTGTCATGGAATTTGTGCATTCATTTTGGCCTTAAAAAATATTGTGTTGGCCAGGTGTGGTGGCTCACACCTGTAATCCCAGCACTTTGGGAGGCCAAGGCAGGAGGATCACCTGAGGTCAGGAGTTCGAGACCAACCTGGCCTATATGGTGAAACCCTGTCTCTACTAGAAATACAAAAATTAGCCAGGTGTGGTGGCGGGTACCTATAGTCCCAGCTACATGGGAGGCTGAAGCAGGAGAGTTGCTTGAACCCAGGAGGCGGAGGTTGCAGTGAGCTGAGATCACCCCACTGCACTCCAGCCTGGGTGACAGAGTGAGATTCCATCTCAAAAGAAAAAAAACGAAAATGAAAAAATATTGTGTTAAAATAATTTCCATTGTAATCAAGATTATTTTTTACATTCCTTAAATTTTCTACAACTTAAAAGTTGTCTCACTTGTCTCACCCTAATCCTGGGCTCTGTTATTTTCTGATGCTTAATGATGATCTAAACTAGGAACTAGTTAGAAGTCAGCTTCATAGGCAATGTATGTATCTCGCCTGAATTATCTCCATCCTGTTCTTTTTCTGAAGATTAGTAGGAACCAGATATAAGTGTGTAACAAAAGAATTTTTAAAATTTACCTCACTAGAGATCACAGAAAATAACTATATTGATGAAAATGTCATTGGTTTACTATTTCAAGGGCCTATGGAACAAACAGTGATGCTTTTGAAACTTACTTTGAAAATTCAAAATCTAGACCTCAAAAAAAAATACACAGGGGAGTAGAGTTTTATGAGGTAAAACTGTCATTCATTCATGCTCTGATGCCACCACATACCCTGAGAATCTCTTCAAAGGCTACTGACTGGGGCTTCTAAGCTCAGAGCTGAGGGAGAGGCAAGGATAGGAATGATATAAATGTCAACTATACTTTCAGTCCAAGCAGGGCAAGGAGCCCAAATAAAGACTACTTCTCATGAAACTAGAAACCCTCCAGGGGGTTAAAATCTGAGAAAAAGGGTGGAGGAAGAAAATGCAACTCATGCAGAATTTTCAGTCTGTATGTACATTTTGCTCCCCATAATTTCTTAGGTATTTTGTTTTCAGTGGGAAGATGTTCATTATTCTGTTCAAGAAAAGGTAAACTCTATGAAGGCCAAGACTACAGTGCCTGTCCCATGGTAGGTGCTCAGTAAATATCTAGTGAATGAAAGAATATCCTCACAAGAACAAAATGTGTACTCCATGGTTAAAAGAAGAAAAATTCACCTACTGTACCCTGTGATACTCAATATCTAAAATCAATCACATAAGCTTCCACTTTAGGAAACTAGAAAAAGGAAAGTAAATTCAAAGCAAGAAGAAAAAAAGAAAGAAAAATTAGAGCAGAAATCAATGGAATTGAAAACAGAAAACTAATAGAGGAAATCAACAAAACCAAATGCCAGTTCTTCGAAAAGATCAAAAAAGTGATAAGCCATAGCTAGGCTAACTAATATTTTAAAAGAGAGAGGTGGGGAGGGAGGATGCAAAAATATTAATATCAGACTGGGCACGGTGACTTACGCCTGTAATCCCAGCACTTTGGGAGGCCAAGGCAGGAGCATCACTTGAGTGCAGGAGGTCAAGACCAGTCTGAGCAACATAGTGAGACCCTGTGTCTAAGGCAGATGTGGTGGCTCACACCTGTAATCTCAGCACTTTGGGAGGCTGAGGTGGGCAGATCGCTTTTAGCTCAGGACTTCAAGACCAGCCTGGGCAACACAATGAAACCCCATCTCTACAAAAAATGCAAAACAATTAGCCAGGCATTTGGTGGCTTGTACCTCCAATAGAGAGGTAACCTATAAAATACATGGTCAGAACTCGTTGAAACTCAAGGTCATCCAAAACAAGAAAAGTCTGAGTAAATATCACAGCCAAGAGAAGCCTAAGGAGACATGATGGCTAAATGTGATGTGGTGTCTTAGATGTAACCCTGAAACAGAAAAAGACATTAGGTAAAAGTAAAGAGACCTGAATAAGCTGCTCAGGGCGTTAAGGCAAGGAAAAAAAAAGTCAAACACACAAGGGATGGAAAGAAAGAAATCATTTTTGAAGATAGTTAGACTGTATATATAAACATTCAGAAGAACCCACATATAAATTATAAGACTCAAATTATAAGACTCTGAGAGTTTAGTACAGCTGTTAGATATATAATCAATAGTTTAAGAAATCAATTTATTCTCACACCAGCAATAAAAAATACAAAAATTGAATTTAAAAATATATAATTTAAGATACCAGAAAAGGCCGAGATGGGTGGATTACCTGAGGTCAGGAGTTCGAGATCAGCCTGGCCAACATGGTGAAACCCCATCTCTACAAAAACTACAAGATTAGCTACGTGTGGTGGCACATGCCTGTAATCTCAGCTACTCGGGAGACCGAGGCAGGAGAATTGCTTGAACCTGGGAGGCGGAGGTTGCAGTGAGCCAAGATCGTGCCACTGCACTCCAGCCTGGGCAACAAGAGCAAAACTCCATCTCAAAACAAAATAAATAAATAAAAATTAAAAGAGAGCATAGAAAAATGAAATATCAAGAAATAAATTGAACAAACGATCTCTATGGAGAAACTTATAAAACTCTATTGAGAGATATTAAGTGTATCTATAAATGAAGAATTATATTATGTTCATAGATTGGAAGCTCAATATTATGAAGATAATCAATTTACTCCAAATGTATCTGTAGACTTACTATAGTCTCAATAAAGCCCCCAGAATTTTTTTTTTTTTTTTACAGCTTAAAAACTTACTCTAAAATTTATTAAGCTATGCAAAGGGCCAAAAAGAGATAAAACATTCTTCAAGAAGAACAAGGTGGGAGATGAAAGAGGATTTGTTCTAGCAAATATCAAGACTTATTGTAAGCTATAATAATTAAGATTGTATAGTGTTGGCTTAGTGGTAGATAAAATAATCAAGGGAACAGGATAGAGGCCTGGAAACAAATCCACATATACACCAACACTTGATAAGTGACACTGTAGAGATCACTAGGGAAAGGATAAATGTTTCCACTAAACTTGGTGGGGTAATTGGGAACCCATATTAGAAAAATAGATTGGACTCCTTCCTTATTCCACAGACAAAAATCAATTTCAGACAAGTTAAAGACTTACATTTAAAAGATAAATAATCAAGCTTTTGGAAGTTATTTAGGAGAACATTTTTATAATCTTGGGACAAGTGGATTTTTTTCAACAAAACACAAAAAGCTCTACCCAAAAAGGAAAATTATTGCAATTTTAGATTACTCTAAAAGAACATATACACCCCAAAACAGCATAAAAGAGTAAAAAGGTAAGACACATAATGAATATTTGCAACATAAATATGACAAAGGATTTCTAGGCAGAATATAGAAGAATGTCTACAAATCAATAATAAAAAGACAATCTACAAGAAAAATGGGCAAAAAGGTTTGAACAGGTACTTCACAAAATAGAATATCCAAATCGTGAATAAAGAGAGCTCAACCTTACTAGCAATGAGGAAGTGAAAATAAAAACCACAATAAGGTACCACTATACTCATCAGAATAACTAAAATTAAAACAACTGCAAGCACCAAATGTTTATAAATAGGAGTATAGAAACTCTCATATGTTACTAATGACAATGTAGTGAGGTTCAATCTCATTGCAAAATAGTGTGGCATTCTACACTAAAACAGAAAATACACATATACTGTGACCTAACAATCTACTCTTAGCTAAGTCTCAACACTGGA